TTTTTTTGTAGTTCCCTGTTAGCTTTTTTTTTTCTTCTTGCGAGGTAAGCGTCTTTTGTTAAAACAAAATGTTATCTAAAAGAAAAAACGAGAACTATGATCTTGCTCCAAAGAAGAAACGATTATTTCTTCTTCATAGGATTCGGATTATTTCTTCTTGATTATATTATATAGATTATTATTTTGATTAGTAAAATTTCTTAAGATGGGCCAGTTTTAAATTCACCCCATCATAATCTACGATCGAAACTTGACTAAATTTATTGGTTTTTCTGAAATTAACAATGGATATTTGGAGGCCATATTGGAATTTCCGAAGGAGATCCGAAGTTCGGCATTTCGTCAGTCCCGTGAGTGTCGGATTTAGGGTCCTATTACTTCCTTTTCTATTTGCTCAAATTACAATTGCCGATGTTCTGCAGCAGATCGCGATACCGGCGAATATTTCGTCGACTTTGTTATTAATTTTTTTTAATAGGCTTTCTCTCAGAAAATTATTTAATCTTAAATAACTTTCCTTGAAAAAATTTTTTGCTACTAAAAAATATTTCGTCGGAAGCGCCGCATGTTGAAAAAAAACAACTTTTTTTTCCATAGCGCCTTTACCGCTGAAAAATACGGTAAGTAAATTGAATTAGCTTTTTCAAAATTACGAACTACAAAGCAGTCCTTCAAAAATGAATAACACAACACCTTTTACCATGAAACTCTACTAATTCAGATAAGTATAACCAGTGAAATCGAAACAAGGGGGCTTTATCTATCTGATGTACTATTCATTTTACTATTAAACTGTATTCCATCCTGTGACATCTGTGTTATTTATTTCTGTAAAACCTAAATAAAATGTGCTTTGATGAATTTTTGCTTTACAATAATGTGTGATGGTTGTGGAATCCTTATGTCAAAAAAATAAGGAACCTAAATGATATTAAATATTGTAAGGCTAAGTAACAAATTTAAATATTGAAAGATATATGCAGAGATTCCGCTTTAACTGATATGGTGCATCAAATACGCTAAAAATCGTAACGGGGAGGCTAAAAATAAAAGAATAGAGAGCTCCAGCAGATTTATGTAAGCAAAATTAGACCAAACTTAAGAAAAGAATTTTTTTTTCTATTTAAGACAGAAGAAAAAAATGAAATTATTTGTGAGTATCAAATTGCATTGCAGCTTTTTCTTGATGCAGATGTCCCAATTAAAAGCTTTGATCGATTGTTTAAATAAAACTCTTCTTGTTTTGCCAAAATCTTGACAATTCTGTATGTGAGACTTTCTGCTGTATATGCATTAATTTAAAAAATAGCTATTTAATTTATTTATTTGTTTTTAAATGCTCTTTAATAGTTCTTTTAATTTAAATCCATTTGTATAATTTTTAGCTTGCCCCACTCATTCTCACATCAGATGGAGGAAGGATTGGAAACTCTTCGTTGTGGAAATTGGAGGAAGACTTGGAAGTAGTGTAAGCAATTTCTTTTAAAGTGTCTTTTCTAATAAATGATAAAATCTTCTTTTTAATCTTGCTTAATTCTACTTATGTCGGAAAAATTATTTTTTAAAATAAATTAATAATCAATAAAGCTCTATCTGACATCACATTCAATAAACAAATTGTGGCTGATTGTTTCTAATATTTTAATTAACTGACAAGAAATAATCAAACTTTACTATAGTAATCAGATATAGGTAAAAAAAAAGCAAATATGTTAGTTTTCCTTTGAAAAACTTACCACAATTACTCACCTGTTTCTATAAATAACGTGATGAAAAGCGCAATATTCTGTGTTATATAAGAAATCTTAATAAATTCTCAGTTTTCTGGAATTTTTAAGTGTGAAAAAGATTTTCAAAAATATGCTAGAAAAATTGGTATGAATTTTCAAACAAAGTGATTTGATAGCTGCAAGCAATAAATTTAAAATGGTTGCAGTTCTGGTGGTAGTGTAACAGCTTGAATAAAATAAGTCATTAAGAAACATTACATGAACAGAAAAGAGGTGGATAGCTTTGAACTGACTGATCAAGTGTGTTTTTTGAAAGATACTCATTCTGGGAGTATTCCAAGAACAATGTAGAATCTCTTATCATCCTAACTATTCCTACAAGTAATAACACATGAATGCATGCTTGTGATGCCTGACATTCAAGCTATCTGTAGCACAATTCCTGAAAGAAATTAGCAATAATTTAAAAAGAAAAAAGATACATTTTGAGAAGGAGAGATCTTTTGAAAGTGATCTGTTCAAAGTGCATAACAAACAAAAATTGAAATACAATAATCAATACAATGTTCTAAGGTTAAAAAAAGTGCAAAAAATTTCAGGATTATAAGCAGAACATTTTTAAAAGTTCTAAATTATAAAGCAATTATCATATAAAAGTTTGATGATGGTCTGGGCTAGTGGTTTTTAACTGGCAGTTCCAATCCAGACCACAAACCAAAATATATAGATTAAAAAATTTTATTACTTTTTTGTGAGAAAGCTTTCCTGAAAATTGATATGAGTTTCAAATACTTCTCATTAGCGAAAAGAAATTTCTTGGATTTCTTAGAGTCCAAGAGTACCCACCAAAATTTTCTTAGGGGTTGCACCAAAGAAAATACTCATTAAATTACTCAGATAAAATTGAGTAACTTGTCCAACAGCTCATTGAGGAGCTTTTTGTGAAAAACCCATATGATAAGACTTTGATGTGCACTTTTGCAAGGGCACCAAAAGCAGTTTTTGGAGAAAATGGAAACAGTATTAGGAGATTTGCTGTTGTAAGATCATGTAATGATTTAAATCTAAAAACTATAGGAAAGATGTCAGATGTAATGAGAAATATCAATAGATTTCAAACAAATTAGAAAGTTATTGAACATTTTTTTAAACAAGAATGATTTGGTCGTATTCCAAGCCATCAAAAATAATTTGAAGAATTTAAAGATTATATGCTTAAAGTCTTTGAATTTGCTGGTTACATCCTTAATTCACTGAGAGGGGTTTCATGCTAGATGTAAGTATTTTGAATTATTGAAAAGTAATATACTACTGTTTAATTTAAACTTAAAACACAGTTATTTTTGCATATGAGGGAGGAAATAAAAGCTGATTTATGCAAACTGTTAGCCAAAGAAAAATTTCAAAATCTGAGATTTTGGTCAAAAATTCAGGCTTTTTGGCCAAAAAGTCACAGCAGTATTTGATACTACATAATTGTGTGAAATTGAATTCTCTTTGATGAATCAAGAATCAATCTTATCAAGCATCAGAATAGAAACTGCCTTACAGATTCCTCTTAATTGCATTTCCTGAGACACTCAACAGATATTTGAAACTAATGTTTAAGGTTCCCTCAGCCACAAAAAAGTTTTGGTAAGATTCTCATTAAGTTGTGGCCTGCCAGTAGGCAGGTGTTTTTGATTGTGTCTTTGGGCACATGTTAGTTGGAAACCTCTGGTCTAAGCAAACAAAAGAAGCTTGAAACTGGTAAATTTCTTAATATGAAGGAAGTACCTCAAAATGTAGAAAACTCAAAGCATCCAAAGATGAAAATTTAATTGAAATAAAATATGATTCTTTTGAAAAAGAATTTAGCTACTTTAAAATAGTTTTGTCAAAAAAGCTTTTTTATGCATTTTACTTGTTGATAATATAAGATTTTTGATAATTCAAGTTCACGTTTTCAATTTTTCAAATATTTCTTCTCTCCCTACAAATTCAAGATATCAAAATTTGGATGTGTTTTTAAATATATGCATGTTAGAAAAGGCTTTATTTTTAGTTTTAGTTAGATTTACAAAAAGAGATTCCAATGAAAATTGATGAAGTATAAATTTATCTTAAGTATTATCCATAGTAAAATTACACTCACTACAAAACTAAAGTTCGCTAGCATTTTCCCTAATTATAGTAAACATAGATTTATTGCGTATTTTAAGACATTAAAAAAATGTATATGCAGGGGTCTGTTTAGAAGAAATTTGGGTCCATTAACGGACCCTTCACAAAATACCTTTTTATAAAAACTGACCCTTCGCAAAATATTTTAACTTAAAAATGGACCCTTCACAAATTTGTTTATCTTCATTATTGTTTTGTTAATCAAATAAACCCTTCCCAGGGCAGAAATCAGGAAAGATGGATGCAAACGAATTAAGTTTTGTCTTCGGCAGACTCTTCTTCCATTATTCGTACGAAATGAATATTATGTGTTCAGCAGTATAGGCTAAATACCATATATTTGCATGTTACAACTCTAATTTAGAAGCAGCAATTGCTGTTTATTTTAGAAAATTTAAATTTTTTTTATCATAATTTTGCAGTGGTGAGCATAATTTTGTATCTCTTTACAATTTAAGAACTTGAAATTTTTTTTGCAATAACCGAACCCTATTTGCACAAATTCATAAAAGCAGGACCCTGGTTGAAAGAATGTGACTTAACATTTATTTTATATTCACAAATTATGAGTAATTTTTTCACAATTTTGCAAAAAAAGGACCTTTTATAAAATGTCTGGACAGACCCCTGATATGTATATGCATTAATTCAGCGTTTTTAAATCATATGCTATGCTAACACACATATATATATATACAGTGAAACCTCCTGTTATGGACACTCCTGCAAAACAGACGCCTCTCAATACGGACATATTTTTAATTCCCCGGGAATCTTCTATGAATAAACCATTATGTACATTCTCCACAAAGCGGACACTCCCGTAACCGGACACGGACAGTCATTTTGGCCCTTAAATGTTATTTTCTATCTCTTCAAACCGGTCACTACTTTTTCTAAATTTGAAAAAATAAGCTATTTCTGCTTTAAATTTTTTACCTTATCCATAACTAAAAATATTATTAAACTATTTCACTACTCAAGAATCAATCTTTCTCCTGTCACCTTGCCTTATCTTTGTAAAGAAGGGAGAGAAAATAATACTGCTTTTCTGCAATAATGCAGACAGTGGCATCTTCTTATCTGGACCACGCAGGTTATGATACCCCTCAAGTTGAAATGACATCTTAAATGCTCTCAATGATTCTTCCCCATTGAAAATTTCTTTAATTTTTTTATCTATTTGAAGACTGTATTTGACTCAACTGGTGTAAAAAAAGAGAACAAAAGTATAATCTTTGAGGTGTTTATATAAATGAAACATTTATTTAGACACTTTAGAGCTGATCAGTTGTGAATAATCAACTTCATAGGTCTTCATGACTAACAAGTATGCATTGCTTTTTTTTCCCGTGAATTGTGGGAGGTTTACTTTCAAGCAGGTATTAACCACGTTCCCTATCAAATGATAAATATGTGTAAGGGTATGTAAACCTAATAAGTTAAACCGACTGAAGACTGAAAGCCCCTATTCGGTATCACATGTCTAACTTGAGTATCTATGCTAATAGGAAAATTATATTCATTTATCTATAGCTACATCTAGAATTATGTATTTATATCAAACTTCTTTATATATTCTTTTTTACCTTTCTTAAAGTTTAAATATATATCCTTGTAGATAGTTATTGTAGATTATTTAATTATTTCTACATCTTTGAAAATATTCTAAAAACAATTTACAATGTTAAACTTCGTTATTAGGGTACCCTTCCCGAAAACAGACAATTTTTTCGGTCCCAAGATTGTCCGCTTAACGGAGGTTTTACTGTGTATATATATATGTATGTATGTGTATATATGTATGTATGAAATCACTAATAATTACTTGAATGTTTAAAGCTCTTTTTTTATTATTGTTAGAATGTGTTAAACACAATTTTTTCAGCTATGCAACTTTTTCAGACCTAGAGAGCGGACCTTCAGTTAGAATTTATTGATTTTTATTTAAAATATATTTATGTAATAAAAGAATTTTTCCCTTTCATTTTCTTTTCAGCTTACGTTAAATACTATAAAAAATTTGTATTTAATGTTTGATTTTTAAAATTACCTGCAATGTGCTACAGTGGAAAGTCGCGTATCCGGAATCGGCGGGACTTTCCGAAGTCTGTATATTTGATTTTTCCGTATAATTGACCTCCACGGTAAACAAAGCTTAAAATGATCTGAATCTAACAATAAGAAGCAGAAAATAAATAAACATTATTTTTAGGGCAATAATGTTTTAGTATTAGAATGATATCTAATCAATCATAAACAAAATATTAGAAAAAAAATAATTATTGCTATTCTAAAAATAAATATAGAAAACGAAAAAAATTCACAGTTATGAAAATATTAATTGCTCTCTCCGCCATTTTGAACTAGAACGATTCAAGCAAGAAGGGGAAATTCCCGTCATTCAATAAGGTGGGTTTGGGTAGGTGGAGAAGAAAAATTCATTTCCTCCTTACTTGTCATTCAAGTTGAGGGCGGGATAGTGACAAATTCTTATTTTCTCTCCCATCATTGGCTATCAATCAAGCATAAAGGCGTGGCATGCTGATTGGGTTCTCTTTATTTTTTCTTGTGTGACTAAAGGGAATTCCCCCTCCACTTTAACATTCAAAAAGATTCCAGGAAATGCCTCTTTTACTAGCCAGCTGCATAGAAAAGAAGGGGGAGGGAGGGGACTCAGTTGTGCTCTTTCGAAAACAAATCTCCCCCCCCCCCTTTCCTGCATTCCAGAGGAGGAGCGTCATGGTCTTAGTAGATCTTCTGTTCTCTTGTCTGTTGATGCTGATTTATGGGTTCAATGCATAGATCTCTAGAAGCTGAGAAGGGAAAAACCTGTCAAAAGACTTCGTTTTTTTTTTTTTTTTAAAGGAGAGGGAAAGATGAAGAAATGTTTGTTTATTTTGATTGTTAAAAAGTGTCCGGGAAATCGACCCGTCCGGATATGGGACGTTACACTGTATTTTAAATATTATTTTGACCATTATATAAATGCAAGTTTTTAGGTTTTTGACTACAACTTTAGTTTTGCGATTTTAATTAAGTGAATCTATTTTCAGGCGCCAATTTAATGAAATTTCTCATGTGGAATTTGGCAAGAGAAGTCACCTAAAAATAGTTGGTACAAAACATGATTCTGCTGTGATTATAGACACTAATAGCGGTTCTGAAATAATCAAATTTTTAACACGTGACTTGGGCAATTCTTATCCTTCAAATAGAGCCACCTTTGATTATTCTGATGAACTTGTTTTAACAGATGGAATAATATTTGATTCACGAAATGGTCTCCTTGTACACAAATTGGACAAATTTAATAGCATTATGAATGGTGTTTTTCATCCTAATGGTCGGGAAATTATATCTAACACAGAAATAGTATCCTTTAATTTTCTTGCATGTATCTTTTTTTAATTAATTCAGAATGTTTTTTTTTATCTAGTTTAATTTACTAACTTATTTGCTGATTTTAGCACAAACTAGAATGATTTAATTCACGCATTGAAAAATTATGTTTTCTTTACATTTTACATAAGTAGTGACAAAATTGTAACTTAGCTTTCAATGAACTGTACTTGTATGCTACACTCAGGTTATCTGAGCACCTGGAAAGTCATGAAAAATCATGGAAAGTCATAAATTTCTGTATTGAACAAAATTTGTCATGATTTTTGCTTTTTTTTTAAAAAAAATCGTAGAAAGTCATGGATTTAGGTCTCCCAGTGTTGCAAATGCTGCACCAATCAGTGCCAATTGTGGAAACCTGCGCCTACATGCTCCAAATTGAAGTAGTAGGTTTAAATTGCGCAGCTCTGCGCCAAAAGGGATATTTTCCTCTGGGTATCGCTAAGTCACAATTTTGCAGCAACCCAGCCACTGCCATGTGGGGGGCTGCTCTGGATTAAGTAGGAAGGATTCTTGCACTCTCTTGTGCAACTCTGCTTCATTTTTCAAGATATTCTCACTTTCAGGTTTCATTTTCCCCTCTTAGAAATAGAACGGAAACTTCCCTCGAATTTTCGGGGACCAACTATACATTGCCAAATTTTAATAACCAGCGAAAATTTTATTTCTCTTTTTAATTTCATCATTATTGAAGTGCCATCTGCCAAATTTTAATAGCAAAAGAAAATTTTATTTCTCTTGTTAATTTCATCGTTGAAGTACCATCGTCTTCGTCTGTGACAAGCTAATGGCCTTCCTGCTCTATTCTATTTATATCTCCCTTTTATTCATTTAATTTAATAAAGATAAGATTTAATTGAGTTTCTTCAACGTAAATTTTTATCTGAGGGACCATCTACTAATCGCATATTGTTTTTAAACATTTATTTTACTTTATTACTTTTTTTCACTAATATTTTTTTTTTACTTATTGCATTTTATTATTGTGTTATTACTTTCAAAATTTTCAGTGCTCTTATTTTGTTTTAGGAAAAAACTTCATAATATTTAGAGGCAAGATTTTAAATAAGTATTGAAGAGAGGGGCTTTCAGAATTTTTAAAGCAGCAAAAAAATCTTATGTTTTTCAGATTTGTCATTCAAAAATACTTTAATTCATCTCTTAATGATTTGATTTAAAACAATTGATCTAAAAAGTTTTAATTATCACAGATTTGTTAAATATTATGAGTGTAGGGACAATATAATAATTTACCTCTGATAAATTTTTTAGCTTCAATACTCATTGTATTTGCATTTAAAAATTATTTAAATTTTTTTAATCATTTCATTAATGAAATACTGTACTAGGTAACCGATTTTTTAAAAAAATTTAGGGACCATTCACTAATTTACAATTGTAATATAAATTTATTAAAGTTTGCTTAATTCTTTACATATTTTTATAAACTCGGTATGAACAATATTAATCTTGTTGATGTTTTGTTGAATATACTATTACAAGTAACATTTATTTAAATTTTAAGAAAATACACTCAATAACCTTAAATAATAGTTAAATTAATTATAGTTTTAAATTACCTTTTACAGAATTAAATAAATTAATTAATTATTTAAATTGCTTTTGCCAAAAGCTTATTTTTAAGAAATATTTCAGCTATATTAAAAAAATTTTTAAGTCTTTTCCAAACTGAGACACCATTCATTCACTTGCTGTATGATGAAATGGTGTCTCTAGTTTAAACATTGTTAGAGCGTTTTTTAAAGAGTTCTGCTTTTCTTAGTTTGACAGGAAAGGACTTAAAATCTTTGGATGTCAAAAATACAGAAATTTGGCAAAATTCAAATTTAATAGATGTTGGACTAGATACCACCAATGCAATGACATCCTTATCTTCTTCAGAAAAAAATTCTATGTATTTAGGTGCCATGTTTTGCCACTTGTACCACTGGTCTCCGAAAAATCTAATTTTTAAAATGGAATAATCCCCCCCCCCAATTTCTTCCTGTTCCAAATATCTGAATTCCTAACAAAATCACCACTCAGGCATATTTTATTAGAATATGAAATGATTTTATCATGTTCTTTAAAAATTATGGTGTTCTTTCAAAAAATGAAAGAAAAAAAATTTCTAGAGCGAATTATCTTTTAAACTCTTCTGTGATTTAGGCATTTTTATTATTTATTTTATTTAATTTTATTAATTTATTGTTGCGTTTTTGTCGGCGAAAATAGTAACTTCATTAAGTCATGAAAAATTCTTGGAATTAGTCATGGAAAGTCATGAATTTGAAAATCTAAAATGTAGCAGATGCCCTGTACACTGATAAATTTAATTTTTTTTACCAAAATGTCTCCGATATTCGGTTAAATATAATTTTCTCTTTAAAATATGTGCTTTTGAGCGATTATGAGCAGAATACAGTATTTAAAGGCTGTCTGAATAAAATGATAACAATTAAATGTGAATGCTAGAATCGGTTGTCCACTTTGGATTTACTATACTTGTCAAGTAGATGTGTAAAAGAAACCAAACAACAGATTTTATTGTATCTAAACCATGATAAGTACTGTGAACTTCTAGGGGGTAATAGGGCTTTTTAGAGAGTTAAGTATTAACTCACAGAAAAAGTTATTATTGAATTTGAAGTTCCTGTAACAAGTATTTTTCCTATAAAAAATTACTAACGTTTTTACTCTGTATATTTAGCATGTTATTACTGCAGTTATTAATGAATCAGCTTATTTTATAAAAGATTATAAACCATTTTTATAATAATAATGCTCTCACTTAGTTTGCTGTCCTGCACAAAAAAAAAATAATAAATAATTAAATAACACTATAAAGTCTAGGACAATTTTCTTTTGCTTTTTAAAATTCAGTTTTTCATTTTGAATTTTTATCAAATTATTCTGAAATTTATCGGTTCTTTTTAATCAAAATGCCACCATAGTTTTCAATTTGTATAATAATATGTTAAAAAGAAATTTCTTTTACCTTAGTTCAAAGCAAATAATTCTTTGCCTTTTTAAAGTATAGTATCCCTTTCAAATTAAAAATGCAATCATGATTGTGTTTGCCAGTACATCCATGGAAAATGCTTTTGAGTAAAAAAATTTTATTTCTTTACATGCAATGTCTGTAAAGGAAATTAGGTTTAGTTAAAGAAAAAATTTAAATCAAAGGTTTCCTGCTGATATTTTTTGGCAATTGATTTTGCAGTAATGCAATTTATTTCTAGAATGTGTGAAGTTTTAAATTATAACTCCTCATAAATTTGTTCTAAATCAATATAGAAAAATAATAATCAGGAATTCATTTTTTTTTATGAAGCAAGGTATTTATATATATTTTCCACACTTTTTTCTCAATATATATAAGATTTCTTATATTAGCTTACAAAATATAGCTGCCTGAATTCATTTTGAAATTTACTTGATTCAGTATGAAATGTACTGGAAAACACTAATAACAGATTGCAGGTTGGCATAATTATATTCTTAAATCTCATCACTCATTTCAGAGATCTTTATGAAATGTGTATGGTCTTTTTTTTACCTCTCTGAGCATTAGTTCAGCTGCTTTTTCAGAACTTTTGGATGCAGGCTATCTTGCATCAAGAAACTAGCTTCTCCATGTCATTGAATGGAAAAAGAATGTATGGCAGTTTGGTAATCTTATTTATATTCACCTACCAATTTTTTAAATTTTGTTGAGCATGTTCATTTTAGCTGTCTGCCTAAAACTTACAATGACATTATGATCACCATCCAATTTAAAATTGTAAGTAAATATATGCTGAGCTCCATCAGATTTTTGAAATTATAATTTTTATTACATTGTGCAAATGTCAGTCTTTTAGGTAATAACTCCTTACCAAAGAGTTTCACTTTCCAACGGTATATCAATTTTATGGGATTTGCATTCGACTCATTGCAATATTTGTTTCACTGACCGTATTTACAAAAGTTTTAAATTTATAATCTAAAAAGTAATTCTGAAATGGCAAACATTTAAAAGATCCTTCGCTTAAAAAAGTGGGTTTTTTTCTTCTTTTTTTTAAAAAAAAAACTTGGATTTAAATGTGTTGCAATTTTGTGGCAAATTCTAATTTGTAACACAGGAATTATTTAATAAATGTGATTTATGTGCTTTTTTATTAGGCTACAATTAGATTGAATTAATTTTTAATATGATATTACGATATGGAAATTTCTAATTGCACATTTCAGTAATCACTTTTCAACCCGCTTGATTCCTTCGTAAATCTATGTTTCAATCTTTTTTTTTTTAATTTCTTTTGCTGTTAATGCAATTGATTTTCTCATGGTTTTCAGATATTCCAATATTATTATGATGTGCAAAATTTGAATAACTTATTTGAGTAGCCACTTTTTGATGCTTTCGATTTGTGTTGATACTATCATAAATTCATGGGGTATTTAGATCGTTTTATTGGCCATTATTGGTGCAAAATTTTTTTATGTTTATTTCTTAAATCCTTATATTCTCGATATACATTATTTCGATATACATTGTGACATGCAAAATTCTATTTATTCATTTACATACAAGTCACTTTTTGATGCTACAGTACCCCTATTTTTTCCATCAACATAGATATTCGCATGGTTTTTTAAATTTTGGTATTTTCTTACAGTATTAGTAAGAAACAAGAAAATAGAATCGCAAATTTGAATTATTATTTTTCTACATGCTAGACTTGCACTAAATTCATACATGGTTTCGATCATTTTCCCTCTTTTTTTGCAGTAATTGCTGTTTAGTTTCACATTATATAGGTGATCTTTTTAATAAAAACCAGCTGGCCTGGACTTATTCACCCGCATCCCTGATAAAGACTAACAAAAGTTGTTTTTCTTGATCATGATCTATCCCAAAACAAGCAATGTTAAAGATACTTATGTTACTTTTTTTCCATGTATTATGAATCTTCCTTTATTTAAAAAAAGTGGGACATTCGAACTTTCAAACTATTGAAAACAGTTGCTGGACTAGAATATTGCCGACCTACTTTTAATCCTAATGGAAAGATTATTTATGGAGGTAAGCAAAACTTATTCTTTTCTTAAATAATTCACAGAAGTTATCTGATTTTATTTTGATTCTCTTTTAAAGCCTTATCTAGGGTAAAGCTTCGCTTGCCTTTTAAAAAATCATATTAATTTCGAAATTCATAATTTTTGTTAAATGACAGTGTCAGCATATTTGTTACTAATTGCAAATAATGTAAATAAATTTTAGCGAACTTACATAATATTGTTTTAAAGAGACCAAGTGAAGGAACACTTAATTTTGGTTATTTTTTAATGCTCTTTATGAATTTATAAGCCATACAAATATCTAAAAACAAGCCTATTCTTGAAATTATAACATACAAATACTTGGAAAATGTTAAATTTTTTTTGTAATCATGAATTGAAAAGTAAAGTGGCAACATATTAACCCGTTAACGCCCAACTTAATTTAAAATTGAAATTTTGTTAAAAGCTTTTAAAATTATGTTCTGAACACTTAAATTTAATATAATAAGCAATTAAACTCCACACCATTAATTTAGGATCTGAGATAATTAATATCCTATAAATAGGACGCTGCGTGAATATGAAAGATTTTGAACACTTAGTAATTCTCCTCTGTTTTTAGTTACTTGATTACGTTTCTTTTCCCAAACAATTGAACTTTAGTATTTAATGCAAAATAAAATGAAACACAAATAAATTTGACATTTTTTTTATTAAGTTTAAAACATATTCACACTATTTATGGTAATTTGGAAAAAATTTGTACATAGTGTTACATTACATTTCATGCAAAATATAAGAAATAAGAACAATTTTGCATTTGACATCGTCTTTATTTTTCTCTTTGCCATTTATATGGCCAACTCCATCTCGTCTAACAGTGTCTATTACCTTCACTAAAGATGAAATTGTATAACTTAGTCTACCGATTTGTTTTTGTCCAGTGTTGCCTTATTTTTTTGATAGGCTATTGCAATATGTCTCCTTATTTCTTTGATACTCTTTTTCTCTGCATTTACCGTGTTGTAAATAACTCAGGTATTTACACCAGTCATGTCTACAATTCGGGTAAACATTTTTCAATACCACTTTTTCCACGGATTTTTATGATATGTTTCTCTAAGAGCCAATCATGAGAATCTACACCCATGTTTTTGTTATAATTGTTTACTAGGCATGTCTTCTCGATTTTATTTTTTTCACGCCTTGAAACAGATGTTAGTGGCTCAATTATGTCAAAATTTGTCGCAAGTGTAACGCATTTGTTATCAATCCATTTTACCGCAGTAATTTTATTTTTCACATCAAAGTAGAAATCATGTGAACCACAGCTAGTCTTTTTGAAAGTAGAATCAATTTCAAGGGGACAATGCTCAATTCTGTCACTTCTTATTGTTCCTGTTGCTCGAAATCCACTCTTTCTTAGATCAACTAACGAATTATAAGAATTAGAAGAAAAAAATTATCAAAATATACTATATGACTATTGGCATACCCTCCAACTTATGAGGATTTTGAAAATAATTCTTTCTAGTGGTAGCGAACCAAAGTAGAAATTTTTAAAGCAGATGGATCTCTCATAAAACTTTTATCAGAACTTAAGAATCTAGCCATATGGCCTGCACTTTTATAAGTAATAGTGGACAAGTTACGCTAAAATAAATTTTTTTTAAATATTAGGACATTAATTTTGCTACCGTCTGAAAAGAAGATTTCTGAAACTACGGAAATTCCGTAGCAGTTGGACGGTATGTATTGGGATCAGTGACTGGTTGAAGCATTTTTTTTACAACTTGAGTTCCCAAAGGCTCTTTTGAAAGAACCACTGTAGAAGCAGCATCGACAACTTCCTTGCCACAATACAAATCAAAATTATAAGCAGTAACCATTTCAGGGGCTGTCCAGGCGGAATTTACTACCATTTAGCGGTACCTTCACACATTCAAATTTAGGAAAAACGGTAGTTTCACAAATTCAACTTTAGGAAAAACGGTAGTTTCACAAAATACTTTTTCTTAAAATTTTAATTTTGTATCCCTTAGGAAACGATAAATCCATATTTTTTTGTTGATTTTTAAATATAATTTTTAATTTTTCCCAAATTATGTCTAAATTTTCACAAAATAGGTACCTCTCAGAAAAACCTAGACAGACCCCTGCATTGTTCCCACATAATGCCCACATCTTATACCCAAACCTTATGGGTTTACCTTTAATGTATTGCTTGAAGTAATGATGACTGTAACATCGAATTATCATTTCATCAACAGATAGATGCTTGTAGATGCTTCCCCATTTCTGAAAATTTGCGTTCATTTCAATAATTAATTTTCGAAATTTAAAAGCTCGGTCATTTGTTTGGGACTTAGCTTCATTACTATCAGCAAAATGCATCATAGATTTTATTTCTAAGTATCTGTTTTTAGTTATTGAGTTTTTTGCTATAGGAACCATTAAATCTTCTTCATCTGACCAATAGTCACGTTCACTTGATAGTGCATGATATCCAGAGAAAATCAAATAACCGATAAATGTTTTTTATTCTTCAGTTGTTAAGGAAAAATCTGGTTTGTTTTTCCATTGTTTGGCGTATTTTTCTGTTTCTGTTAAAATATGCTCCAAATATGTTGGAGACAAAAATTCTTCAAAAACTTCTACGGGTGATATACCCTCTAAAGCAGTGTTTCCCAACCTTTTTATCTCCGCGGACCTGTCAATGTTTGATATTTTTGCCACGGCCTGCTGGGGGGGGGGACGTTGATTGTTTATATTTTGGGTTATTTTGATTTATTAATTTTAATTCAATTATATTTAAACATGCCTTCTGAATTAAATAGAGTTACACCAAAAAATAAATATAAAGTGATTTAACATTTTAACTTCCTAGAACGTTAAGTCAATGAGTCACGATCGAGAGAGAAGACGAAGTTCTTCGTTAGTTCCAATGTATATTCCGCGCCTAGCTTTCATGTTTTATTTATGATATTTACAGTTATAATGATTAATTTTTTTAAAATTAAAACTAATTGAAAAAGAAAATAGTTGCGGTGTTTTTTTTTTTTGGTTCTTTTAAACATTAAAAAATTTACGTCACTACCTTCGGAAGTCGTTTTTTTTTTTTTTTTTTTTTTTTTTTTTTTTTTTTTTTTTTTTTTTTTTTTNTAGGAATTTAAATTCAGTTTCAATGAAATGGGCTGCCCGGTATCATTTGATCCACGGACCGGTACCTGTCCGGAACACTGCTCTAAATTGCTTACAGCTTTTTCATAGTTTATTTTTGAGGCATTACTTTTATCAGAAAAAGTATTATTTGGTGGAACTTTTTTCCAATCTGCTATTAACTCTTTTTTACCTTTCTTACGTGTATTTGATCCTAATTCCGAGCAACTTCTCTTTTTACTTTTGTTTGATAAATCTTTCTCTCTATGATCATCATAGTTTTCATAAGTTACAGAAATTTCAATACTACCTACAACGTCTCTTTCAGATAGGTCAAGAGTTTCAGTGTTATCAAAACCTTCATCTGTTAATTCATTTACTTCAGGTGGCAAAGCAATAATTTCGGACTCTAATTCCTCTGAAAATAGATATTCTACAGCTTCTTCGGCAGTTTTAAAAACTTTTTTCCGCTACATCTTGAGCACCTATGAAATAAAATAAATATCAGAAAATTTAATAAATCCGTCCAGCGTCCTATTTTTAGGACAGTAGTTTAAATTTGTTATTTTGACTAATAAAAGTAAAAATAATTTTAAAACAATTCAGATATCTGTTAATAGAATATCTGAAATATAAATTCTGAAAAAATATTTAAACTTACCTTTAAAACCTTTTTGTATGATTACAATGATATTCAGCAAGAAAAAATCACGAAAATGGCGCAGTTTACGTGTCTGCAGCTGGCTGAAAAATGCTTCCAAACCGGTTTAAATAAGTAGGGAGAAGCCATTACTCTTCAGGGGGTAGAAAAAGAGGCGAAACGTTGAATAGCTTTATTTATAATGGTGAAAATGAACTGTCCCTATAACTATGACCCTGGGCAGAAACTGGTTAACACATACTGTTCATTCACTGGGAAATCTATGCCCAGTTAAGGAACGTGCCTGTTCCTCCACTGGTTGGAAGTTGTTTTTTGTATTTTTAACATACTTTTGATGCAAAACATCACTAAAGATACAAGAAAATTAAAGTTTTTCTTTCATTTTCGTTAACTTAGAAAAAAACCAGTAAAGGAACACTTGTTCCTTCACTGGTTTTTCATCGTTTGGTGATCCAGTGAATAAACACCCCCTTATCTCAGTACTTGATTATGCTATGATGCTGAAAAAAATAAAACGTAACTTCAATAACTATATTTTGAATTCTCTTTTTCACAGTGAGAAAAATAAAACTATTACATGCAATTAATTCCACTTCAAACATATAAATACAAACACTCACCTTATAATTTTTTTCAAAGAAACAAGGTGTTGCAGAAATAATAACAAATTCAAAAATTTTTCAAGAGAAGTCTATATGACCAGGTAATCCAAAACATTGCTAGATGACTTCCTATTGTTTGGCAGTAGGCTATTGTTACCAATCAATCTGAAGAAAAGCTTTCAAATTCTTATTTTTAATCAATATATATGAAATGTTCCTTTACTGGGTAGTGTTCCTTCACTGGTTGGTTTACTCTACATGTGTACAGAAAATTAGATGTTGATTTTCTAAAATTCTTCATATTTTATTGTGAGTGCTTGTATTTAATAAAAGAGCAAGACCAGTGATAGGAAAAAATGTGACTTGCTGATACAATTTTCTTAGAAAAGGAGTATGCACGTATTAATATAAAGGAAATTGCCATTATTTTATTAAACTTAGATATTAACTGTGCATGGCAAGGAATTTTATATTATAATTTTCCATGGTTGCAAAACAGTTAAGGGTTTAATTTCTTTTGATACTAAACACACTAATTCTTTTTCCATAAAACAGTCCTAAATTTTTGAATTCTATTAACTCTGCAGTAATTTAAGAGAGTAAATAAACTACTGCCAATTGCTGTTTTCAAAAAATAATTTTTGTTATTAAAAACTTATTCATCTCATTTTTAAATATTATTTTCCCTCTAAATAGGTATAAAAAAAAACATATTTGTATGGTTTTTGACTTTGCTGGAAAGGCAAGATGCAAAAGTAATTAATTCATAATTTTTAATATTTTCTTCATGAGTTTCAATTTTTTAAAGAAATGCTTGACAAAGATTCAGTGAAAAATATTCTTTAGGAATTCCTTTTTGCTTAATATTCATAATTTCTTGTATTTTATTTTTTTCCCCTCTAGAAAGTGTCAGTGACTATTAGAGTAAGAAAGTGAAAGTCAAATTTATTCTTTTTTCCCATTGTTGCATTAAAATAAATTTTTTTTATCATATGTTAACTATTACTTTTATGATTTTCTTAGTGTGCTTTGTTTAAATTTTTTCTTCATTTCTCTGAAAAAGGAATTTGATTTAAAACTAAAATCATAATTTTGAATATAAATTCTAAAATTGAATCAACAACAACAACAATCTAAAATTGAATCAATTATGTAATGATAAGGTAGATTTTTTTTTTCATTTATTTTGGAGCAAAAAGTATGATTGTTCACAAATTGACAAGAAAAAAATCTGGATTTTAATTGCTTTTTAAATTATATATTTCTGTCATGTGTTAACATTTTAATACATTTGGATATAAATTAAGAAAAAAAGTTTTAAGTAATTAAAAGAAAAATCTAAAATTTACAAAGTCTCTTGTCTCAAGCTGTACAGATATTAGAGAGTCTACAGTATATTATTTAGACAGGGCATATAAATTCTTAATTTAAACATAGCACACTGAACAAAAAATTTCTAGATATGCTAATTTGACTGTGTGTTTCAAATTTCTTTATTAAATAGGAAAAACATTTTTGTTGAAAAAGGAATTTTATTTTACCAAAAATTTTTACTTTTGTAGTATTTTGCTATAAAGATGCACCAGATGAGAGGACAAATTGTTTTTACACGTTTGATGCTTCAGATTACAGCAGTATTGGTAAGAAATCAATTAATGTGTAAATTAATTTTGATATTTATTTGATTGACACTTTTTTCTGATCAACAAAGTATTTTATATTTTTGTCATGCTGGTGAACCTCATTAACATAAAATCGGTTGAGTCTATCATAATTATTTCATTTTAACCAGATTCTATTTTGTTTGACCTTCATGAAAGCAATTTATTCATTAACAATGCATATGATGTACTTCGTAAATGTATGAAAACAACACTATTATGTACTAAACAAATTAAAATAAGCCTAGAAATGTTTACTAATTTTTCCACTATTTTATGGAAATTATATATTTTATTTCGATCTGAAATAGACTGTAATTGATTTTTGTTTCTTTTTTTATTTTCACATATATTCCAGAAGTGCCGATTCTCTTCTAAGCAATTTATACCAGAAGATGCTTACCCTCGTTAGCAAAATGCTTTTTAAAAAAAGGCACAATGTTTTCTTGTTGAGAGAGTAAATTTTCTGAAGTTTTTATTCAGCAGCATCAGCCATTAAAATAGTAGGTCAAAGAACTTCTTCATTTTCTTCTTCGTCTGAAGTTTAATTATTTTTTTCAGAAATATATGCAATTATGCCTTCTTCAGAAATAGCATCAGCAGTATGATGATTTTCATCAACATTACAAAAGCATGAAAATTATTTTCATTCATGTGCCCTCCTTTTTTCATAACATTAAAGAAGACTCCTCATTTGATTGTGTAACATTTTCTGTAACAATTGTGCTGAATCCACCCTGTTTTAAACAGTTATTGATTGTGTTTGCAGAAATATTTTTTCGTGCTTTTCTAAGCAAAGTCATAGCTTCCAAGAACTTGATCAAAAATTCTGTTTTCTTGTCATAATAGCTAATAATTTTCTTTTCAATAATTCGTTTTCATGTATTGTATTATCCCTTGGTCATATGGTTGGATCTTTGCTGTGGTGTTCAATGATAAAAGTATGCATTTTTTAGCTTTTAATCCAGAGATTTTTCCAATGGGCATTACAATCACATAAACTATAACACATAAACTTTCCAGTCTCTATAACACATACATTTTTCCAGTTCTGATTCTGTCAGAGGGTGGATTAAATTTTTTTTTCGTTAAATAGCAGTGAAATCTTTTTTAATTGTATTTTCTTGTGCGTAATGCTTGTGTAAAATGAGCTGCTTTCTAAAAAGATTTGTATGAAGGTGTTTTTTCTTTATTCTTATGTTGATAACTTGTGATTTTTGATCATAATGATTTATTTGATTTTTTGAATATTTTGTCTCCATTTTCAAGTTTGAAATATTAAGGTTTGACTTTAAACATAAAATCTTAAAATTGCTATTTTTAGTTGTTTTATGTTTTAATAAGAGCTCATTTAATAAATTAGCATATATTTGAATAACATGGCTGCTAAGTTCTAACAATATTTTAATTGATTAATACAAAAAAAAAAGGAATTTTTGTACACTGTGGCATTTTTACATTATAAAATTACGACTATCTTGAGTTCATTAAACTCAAAGGACATGCACTACTTGAAATTGTATTCATTCCATTTATAGAGAAAACTGGACTGTTCAGAACACATCTTACATAAAGTCTTAAATGGTGGATTGAAATGTTATTTTTGAAATCTATAAACTTAGTGAGAAATTATTTCTATAAAACAGCATTATTTTTTAAACTAATCCAGGACCTAAAACAGGTGGATTTTCTACCGTTTATTGATACTTTTCCAGTAATTAACCTAGCAAACACAATACCTTCACAAAAATCTTTGCTGTAAAATCAGTACTTTCACAAAAATCATAATTTTCCTTGCAAGATTGACAACTTCCCAGAAAGAATTTTAAAAAGACAGGAAGTGTAACTTTTTATTAAATGCATGGCCTTTTTGCAGAAAAATAATTGAATACATGTGCATATTTCTTAAGTTCCATGTGCTAGCGCAAGTTGAATTTTTTCAGAATTTAAAAATCACTCATTGTGTTTCATATTCACATGATCTAAAAATCGTCTCATTCCATATTTAAGAGATTTAAAAATAGGTCACGATTCATATTCACAAGAGTTAAAAATAACATTGTGACTCTCTTCGCAATTTAAAAATCACACTTTGCGATTCGTATTCGCACCATTTAATTATCACATAATGTGGAAAAAAAGAGCACTATCTGGGATGAATTCCTAACACTAATAAAATTATTTATCCTAGTACTGCCCATGTCAACAGCTTCTGTAAAAAGATTTGTTTCCCAGATTGAGTTTGGTATGTTTGAAATTGAGGAGCAGTTTTTCTACAAAATCATAAAATTTTCATTTATTGATTCTGCAAAGCAGTCAGATGATCAAGTAGACCGTACTAAGCCTACATGGACTACTTTATATTAATTTATGATTATATGCTGGGAAATAATTTGTATAATGTAAAACTTTTATTTGTTAAAAATAATGGAAGTAATACATTATGACACTTCTCGCAATTTAAAAATCACACATTGCGATTCGTATTCATACGATTTAATTATCACATATCGTGGAAAGAAAGAGCACTATCTGGGATGAATTCCTAAAACTGATGAAATTATTTATCCTCGTACTGCCCCAACAAGCACACGACTTTTGGGCTAGTGAAGGGACAATGTCGGCACACCTAAAGTGCCATTACGGCGGGCTTTTCATCGCCGTATCGGTTCCGTTAATAAAGTGAAATCTGGGCCANTGGGGCCCATATCAACAGCTTCTTTAAAAAGAGTGTTTCTCAGAATGAATTTAGTATGTTTGAAATAGGGGAGTTTTCTACAAAATCATAAAATATATATTTATTGACTCTGCAAAGTTGTCAGATGATCAAGTAGACCCTACTAAGCCTACACGAAGCACTTTATATTAATTTATAATCATATGCTGGAAATAATTTGTATATTATTAAACTTTTTAAGTGTAAAAAAGTATGGTCAAGATGAATATTGTGAGGTAATGTTAAAATTAAAAAATTCTGCATATCCATTAGAAAACCATTTAGAAAATTTTAAAACCATTTTCTACCTACATTAACTATTTTATATTAATTTATAATCATATGCTGGGAAATAATTTGTATATTATTACACTTTTTAACTGTAGAAAGAGGCAATCAAGATAAGTATTGTAAAGTAATGTAAATTTGAATTAAATGTAAGTATACAGCCAATACAATATAGTGAACACGGTTTATAGTGAACTACCGGATATAGTGAACAAAATGTTCGCCCCTGTGCCTTGCTACACACGTATAATGTTATTTTTTTGTATATAGTGAACCAAAAAACGAGAGAAAGCTGGATATTATGAACTTCGTTCTGTCTTCGACTGATTTATTTTCTTCATTTTTTTTTTGTAATAATTTTGAAATTTCTGCTGCAAAATAAATGCACATACCGATTTTTAAAACCATCTATAGCATGGATTTTAGCAACAAGCATTTTTTCTTGTTTGCTTCATTATTGAATAGCATTATCGAATTGGTTCAGCATTCAAAGAAGCCGCAATCTCCCATTATCTGGACAAATGCTTCAAGTCTAAGCCAGTGAATGAATTTGCTAAGCGATTTAGTGAAACTAATTTTATGTGCTCGAATGGCTTGTTAGACAGGTTTGAAAAGCGGAATAACAAAATTCAGGAACAATTATCGGAGTTTCGGGAAGTGTTTCCATATCTGATGTTGAGGATTGCTCATCAGCAAAAGAATTACTAATTTTTTTTTTTTGGTATGCAAGACGAAGAGTAATTAAAAATAAAAGTTAGCACATTTGTGTTGTTACTATATATTATTTTTCAGTCATTTTTGTATTTCATTTTATTGATTATTTTTTTAAATAATGTGTAATAAAAGGGGGAAGTTTGGAACCATTAGTTAAAATTGCTTGCGGAATGGATGTAGGAAAGTCCAGTGAACCAAAATTTCGGTCCCATGAAGGTTCACTATAGCGAGGTTTGACTGTATATAGATATAATTGTAAATAGTGTCTTGTTATAGTAATAAGTATAGGCAAATAATTACTTCAAAATTATTATTATTTGATCTTTTGAAGACATTTTCTCACTGAAAATTATGATGTGCTAAAATTTTTCACAAAACTAAAATTGCCTTTATATTTTTGTCAAAAATGGGTATTAAGTTAAAAATCCTGAATTAGCACCTGTAAACACCTGGTCTCTATTAAAAAAAATTCTGAATTAGCCCCTGTAAGCACATGGTTTCTATTACACTTTTTCAGTGCTGAAACTGTCCCAGTCTGTATTAGACTGAAGAGAATCTTTGTTTCAATAAGCAACAATGAAAAATAATCCAAAAATCTTATTTCACTAGCCTACTAAACATTCTTCGAACTTCATTCCGGATTCTGGTCTAGTTTTTTCTCTAAATATGTAAAGCTTCAAATCTATAAAACTCGTTATGTCAGTCCTTTTGTATGGCTCCAAAACTTGGTCTGAAGCTAAAAATGGAAAATGTAATTTTGCAGTTTTTGAAAGAAAGGTTATCCAAAGCATCCTTGATGGCGTCAAAGAAACTGACCTCTGGTAAAGATGTTTTCATTCAGAAATTTATAAAACGTCTCATATTATTAAAAATGTTAAATTTAAAAGAATGAACACTAGGTTGAATGAATAAATAGGAAAAAATCCACTGAAGAAGGTTTTTGTTATGAAGCTCTACATTAGTTGAAGTTTTAGAAAGACAGAGGCAAAAACTATATTGCCCTCCTAAGTATTATCAGATTTTAAAATGTTTGAGGTGAGAGACTGACAGACAACAAAATAAGAATTTTTTTTAACTCAATATAAAATTAGTTTTGATTTATTCATTGAGAGAAAAGAATATGCCTTTTTAATACAAAATTGGTTGTCAAAAGAAAATAAGTTGTAATATTAATGCCGAACTATTAGTAGCTTCATTTCTTCTATTGACCACATTAAGAGAGAAGAATTTTATTGATTATGTTCATATGTAACTTTGCTATTTCACTGATTAGGAGCTGTGTAATTTAGCTTACTTATAGCCAATATGTCCCTGTTTTTATTTCTGACAATTATTATCTTTTGAATTAAAATGTAAAAGTTTTTTGAAAGTTCAAGTGAATGAAAGGAAATCCCCCCCCCCTCCGTGCTAATACTGATAACTCATTTTCTCGCACTCTAATTTTTTATTTTCTATAAGTAAAATGAATTTTTATGTTAAATCCCCTGAAATCTTGTTTTATTATTAGTCATACACTCAATTTGGGGTAACACAAATCTAATGTAACTTATGTAAATTCTTACATTTAGTTTTTGTTTTCAACTCTTTAAGAAACATTTTTCACTTCAGAGCCTTTAGCTGACTTATATTGTTTAAGGATAATTAATTTATTTTTAAGCTGCTAGAGTTAATCATCTCTTTAAAAAATTTTGTCATAATGAGTAAAAATATAGTTCTTGTGAATAATTAACATGATATTAATGACAAAAAGGTTATGAAAACTTTCATATGTTTGAGTTATAGTAAATTTATAATTGTTTCATCAATTCAGGTTGATATTTTTTTAAGTTTAGAGAGGTTTTGAAGCAGTGGTTGTGTTTTGAAAATTTATTAATTATTTTGTTGAAGAAAGAAGACATTTTGCAATAAGTTCTTTTTAAAACTTTCTCCTTTTTTTTAAACTTTCTCTATAAAGAATTGAAATTGTGATGGTATGTCTTTACATCATCTTCAGGGAGGTTTCCCAAATCATAGTCTATTTTACATCTCTAGTGCAATGTAAATAAAGTACTTACCTACCTCAAGCTTCCTTCAAAAGAAACACATTTTCATACAATCCTTGATTCTTTATAGAAAAATCAAACAATGAGGTGATTAATAAAAATATGGTTGAATCAAAAGTTTAATGTTAAGAACTAAAAGCAGTTATGAATGACATGTGAAGATGAATTATGAATATTATACAACTCTGAAGTATTTGATCCTGGTCTGTGAGATTGTAAAAAGAAAAGATGCTGTTCTCATAGGTGCATGAACTATAACTTAATGTATATACTTTTCTTTAGGTATTTAAATGTGGACCTCAAAAAGTCAGCCTAAGCTAATCTTTACTGCTCCTCAGTACAGGCTGCTTTAAAATTATAAATTCTGAATGTTTTTATACTTTTTCTGCTCATAAACTTTAAAATATTTAATTTTTTAGTTATTAAAGCCAGACGTGCCAACTCTCCCGCATTTTGCGGGAGTCTCCCGAATTTTGAGTTATTCTCCCGCCCTCCGGAATTGATTTGAAAAACTCCCGAATTTTACTGCGATCGACGGCCAAACTCAAAATTACCTAATTTTTCCGCGAGTGCGAAGGTAAGTTTTTCTTTCAGCTTGAATTCCATCCCCTCTTATCAAACTACCATCTGCCTGAAGCGTAGCTGAACATGCTTTATTTTCCCCCCTCTTCAACGTTACCTCTAAAAACACTCCTATTTCACCCGCCCCCTTACACTGGGGGCGGGTGAAATCTTCCTCTTCTTTCGTGTGGAGTTGAATGCAATGACGTCACATGTCGTTATCGAGTGACGTCCGTTCAGGAGTGGGGAAACTCGTACTCTCGATAGTTGGAATTGATATTGTATCTTGCTGTTTTTATAGTTTTTAATGCGTATTTTTCCACGGTTGGCAACAAGCTCGTAAACTAGCAACGTGATATCAATTATTCGTTTAGTCTTCGTATATTTAAAAAAAAAAAATTTCAAGGATGTCTTAAGTCGAAACGGAAGTATGGATCAATTTCAACAAATCATGTACCAATGACTTTAGCAAGACTTAATTGCGGAGAGCTAAGTCTGCAACTCTTTTTTTCATGCATACAGTAGAGAACCATTTATCTGGTATCCAGATAATCCGGAAAAAAAATTTGCTCGGTTCTCCCGCCATTTTGAACTAAAACGATATGAAAAAAAAAGCGGAAACTGGACTAATCCTTGAAGTTGAGTAGAGGAAAATGTGAGGAAGGGAAGAATTTTTTTCCCCGTTTACCCAGAGAAACGTCATTTCTTCCGCGACCTTGAAGATTTTAGATCTTTATTCTCTTTTAGGTCGTTAAACTCAAAGGAGTGGCATGATGATTTCGTTTGCTAGTTTGATTTACGAGGGGGTGGGGAAAATGCATTGCACATGCATATCAGTGAACAGAAGATGAAAGAGAAAAATATATTTATCTATTTGACATCGATTAATAAAAATAAAATGTTTTTCTTTTGAATAAATTCTGATTCTTTGGAAGTGCGGTATCATTCGCAAGTTTTTCTTGATGTGGAATCACACCTGCTTTAATTAAAAATCGCGTTTTTATAAAAAAAAAAAAAAAGGAGAATTGTTTATTAATTTAAGCATACAATTATTTTATGAAGCAGATTGCAGTTTCGTTTTTCTGATTCCACTACGTTTTTTTTTTCTTTTTCATGATAAATTTTGCACTCAATAAAATTATTTGTATTACCAAATTTTTTCATTAGTTTTTTTTTTTTTTTAAGTCCGTTGATCTTGCCTTGTTCTAGGTTTTAATATTTATGCTAGTGCCGTTTTTTAACTATCGTTTCGGTTCGATAATTTTCAAGTGTTGTTTTTATTTAGATTAATAGGTTTTCCTTTTATTTTCGCCCCCCCCCCCATGAAATATATTGCGTTATTTAATCATTGGTTTTGTTTATTAGTTGATTTAGGAATCGTAATTATTTTTTAAACTTGTTTTTCTTGTCTAAACTTGCAAATTTTTTTATTCTTTTAAATTTTATTTTTCTACAATTTTTTTCCTTTTTAGATTTAGGAGTGCTTTTCTTTTTTCTCTTACTTTAAAATGTGTTTACATTTTTTCCTTGTAATTTGGGTTTGATAAAACATCGATTAACGACACTTTTTTGTCGATCCAGGAAACCGGGAAATTAAGACATCCGGGATAGCGATGGTCCCGAGCATCCCGGATAATTGGTTCTTTATTGTACAGACATTAGTATTGAATTGGTTTTTTAAAATAAAATACTTATTCAATTTGTTTATTTTTTAAAAGTTTTTGTGTATTTTTATTACAGTGTCGGGTTTTTGAATAATGTTTTATTAAGGAAATGGTATTTATTTAAAGAGTATCTACCTAATATAGTTTTGTGTTGCTAAATCTGTGTTTAATTATTTTATTTCCATTTAATATTTTTAAACAATTATTGCTCTATTAGTGTGTAAAATTTCTTGCATTCTTATATTTAATAAATTTTTTACTTAAAATTCCTTAGAACTGCTAAATGTTGCATACCATGCACCTTTTTTTACCCCTCCTGAAATCTCCTGAATTCTTGTTAGGGAAACTCCTGAATGTTAATTTTGCTAGGTTGGCACGTCTGTTAAAGCAAAATCAAAAGTCCTATACTGAGAAATTCAGATCCTAGAAATCCTCGACTGGCTTAACCTCTGAATTAATAATACCTGTTGCATTAAAATTTTAATTATATAAGTTGTATAAAGAATTAACTGTAGATACTGATGAAAAATGAGTTGTATGTTTCACACTTGTTTGTAATTTCATAAACCAAGAATTATAGGTTTTGTGCATAATGAAGTTAACTTAATATTGAGAAAGTTTTTTTTTTAAAAAAAATTACTCTCTACTTGAAATGCTTACTTATTTCTTATGTTTTACGTTGCTGAAAAGAATTTTTTTTCTTCTGTAGCCACTGTTGATGTTAAGCGGCCAGTTTTTGAGTTGTCAGCTGACTTTAATGAACGTTATGTAGCAACGATCGAATCACAGTCTGTGATTGCGACTGATCCCTTTAATCCTCCTCTTCGAGGCTTGGATTGTGTATGTCGCCTTTATGAAATTGGCCGCTCTAAAGAAGATGGTGATGAGGTAAATCCTTTTAACTCTCGACCCTTTCATGTTATTCAATGGAGAAACTGAATTTGCTTTTCTTTTACTTTTTGTTTTAAATTTTAGGATAATGAAGAATCTGATGATACCGAGGAAGAAACAGAAGATGATGAAGAAGTGGATGAAATTGAGGGAGATAATGAAGGTAACTGCTATATATAAAATTCTAATGGATACTCAAGTTTCATTCATATTCTGAGTGATCAGTATGACTATTAAAATAAAATATTCTTGGTGGAGATAGAAAAATTTCATTTTAAATTAAAAATACATAGTTTAATTTTTCATGATGAAAGCATTAATTCAGAAACTAAAAAAAATCTATCAAAATTTATGATTAGTTATAAGTAAGTAAGTAAGTCTAACCCATGTCCCTAAAACTTAAAAATCACTTTGCACCATCAACAAATATTTTATCTGCAAAAAAGCTTGTATTTATTTTAAGTTCTGGAATTCTCTTATCAAGAATTCCATTGATTATAATTTTTTCCATTTGTAGTCTTCAAGAAAAAAAATTGTCTTGATAATTTTTCAATTGTAACTTAGTGAAATATTTTTCCAGTCTTGACCTCAAACAAATTGCATAAGACTTCACCTTCCATTTTCTGTGCAGTAGGAGGTTAGACTGCTCCACATACTAATATAGGAGGCAGTGAATGGAATGACATAGATAACAAAAAAACATAGATGACAAACAAATTTTTTTTACCTACATTCTTAGAAAACATTCATATTTCGATATTTATTTTTAGATTAATTTTTAATTAAATTCTTTTTTCAGCTTCTGGTCGTGATGTAGAAGACATTCTTTTTGAGCTTGATAATGAACAGGAGCTTGATTCAGATGGATCATCATCATCATCAGAAACTCTTTTTTCATTGAATACTTCAATGGAAGATTGATACATGTGATATTATATTTTATATATTTTAAAATTTCTATTTATAAAGCTTTGACATCATAAGACTTTCAGTTTAATGAATATATATTGTAAAACTTCTATTTATAAAACTTCGACTGTGTTTGAATTTCAATTTAATGAAATCAATAAATATATATTTAAGATATTATTGTTAAGTACTGAGTAATCAATTGTAGCCTGATTTGAACTTTTGCACATGTACACAGTCCAATCACATTAATATGACCACCACCGGCTTTCGACGTCAATGAGAAATAACCATTCACAGAAAGCAGCTTTCAGCGCAATGCAGGGAAGCTTATATAAGGAATATCATAAGGAATCTAAAAGCATTGTAATTATTGGTGTAGTATAGAAACAAAGCGATTTCTCCGACGTCCAAATGGGCATTATTGGTAAACTACTCGCCTGCCTGCATAGTAAAAGTATGCAGAGAAAATGGTACTATCTAAAATCATCAATGTGACAAATGTGCACCATGGACCCTAAATGACAGGTGTGAACGATTGCTGCCGAGATGTGTTTGGGCAATTAGCTGTAACTCTTAAGCAACTGGTCGTCCAGATGATCCAAGGGGCTAGCTGTTGGATTTAGTTTGACTAATCAGGATCTTAAGTTGTATTACGCTTTATTAAAGTTCAAGGTTATGCCATCTTTATAGAGGAGTAACCAGCGTTTTCATCATAGAAAAAAAATGGGTGAGAATTTCTCACCCTTTCTCAAAAGCAGGGTGAGATTTCAAAAAGTTAAGTGAGATTTCTAAAAACTAAAAAAACACTAAAACTCTTTAAAAAAAATTTNTTATGATCTTTTGTATTGCCCTTTATTTAATACATTGCTTTAATATAAAGTTTTTTAATCTTATAACATGAATTTTTCTTAAAACTGCAGTGCTTTTTTCAATCTTTTATTCATTTACCAAAAAATTATTTTAATGCTGAAGTTTCAAAATAGTCATTTCCCTTCTATTAATCAGTAAACAGCCTCTATCTTTCATGTGCTTAAGATAGTAGTGTTGTGGCTTAGATTTTTGGTAATTTTTCTTTACATATCCTGAAAATGATATTTAATCAGAACAAAGATTATTATGTGAAAATGATTTATAGAATGCGCGAATTTCTCGCGGTAATCATTTTTTAATGCGAGCAAAGAAAAAAATTTGCGAGATTCTCGCGTTCTCGCGAAAACACTGAGTAACATACCTTTTGTATAACTCATTAAGTGTTGATTAAGAAGAAAGATGTAAACTTGTTACTGTTTCTTCATTTTAATGATATGCAGAATGCCCAGGGTATTACAAATCATTTCGTCACTCAACCATATTATTTATAAATACTTTGCATATTGTGATATCATTGCTAGCAAAGTTCATATTATTGTTTTCTATATCAGGCTGCGGTGTGTTAGCTTGTTTTTTTTTTTTTAAGATGTTGTAAGTTTCTCAAGGAATTCTGTGCTTTGACTGATATCTGTTTTTTTCCCCTCATAGTCATTTGCAAATATTCATCTTCATACTTAGTTCTAAACAAATTAATGTTGAAACTACTAGCAGGTCATCTTGTTGCTTCATCATTACTGTGCCTAAATAACTCTCCTTCTAACCCAAGACTAACAACATTGTCTCCTCAAAGACTGTTCCGAGAACATTACTATTAATGGGCCTCTGCTGCAGATCCTGGTTAATGCACCTCTGCTGACTGTTGTTCATTGGCAATGAAGGTTGGAATTAACATACCAGTACTGCATCTGCACGTCCACAGAGTGGCGAATTATTGGGAAAAGTGGCAGCATAGATTAATACAACATCTATTCTTGTGAACTGTGTCCACTCCTTAGACATGAATTCTTTTTCTTCAGGATGATGACATCTACCTGCAGAATGTGATGTATCATACAGCTTGCAGTGTACATACCTTGTTCAAAGGGCACCAGGATGAGTTACCGTATTCCCCTACCTGAAAACTCCTCAGACTTAAACCCTATAAAGAGAGTCTGTGAGACTACCTGGATTGGGTTGTTCGGCCATGGATCCTCAACCACATTACTTAGGGCATCTGGCCATGGTACTAGAATTGGCATAGCTGAACATCCCAGTGAACACCTTCACAAACCTAGTTTATTTCTGTTTTGCATTTTTATTTGCTAATTTATAATTATTTTGAGTTAGAAAAAAATTAAAATATAACTTAAGGGTGACGAAAAATAACAAAAAGATCTTTATGTAACTTATCCTTTCATTTGAAAGGAAAAATGTTAAAAATGAGACTTAAAACAGACATTTAAACCAGAAAACCCTTTAAACTGTAATAAAGAATTTTCAAAACTATAGTTTTATATAGTTATAAAAAGAGTTACTCATGAGACACTATAATTTTCTGGCTTTGCATTTAATGTGTTTTTACAGTTTAATTTTTTTCTTGCTTTCTTATATTAATTTAGTAGTAGTAAAAAAATTTAATCTGTCATAAAAAAATTCAAGAAATAATTAAATTTCTTTTAATTTACATAATTAGCTTAAAAATTTAGGGCTATAATTGTATGAAGCCCTATATCAGCTTAAAAATATGCCCCAGTGTAGAGGACAGGAAATTAATTATAATTAAAAAAAAAATGAAGCAGCTCAAAAAATCTTATTAATTTTATTCAATGTAGCGTCTTACATCTGTCATAAAAATTGTTACACTTTATTTTGCTATAAAAATTAAGTGTTGTTAGTTTGAAAAAAAAAGGACTTTATGTTGTTTTAAATGCACTTATTGCAGCTAGTATATTTTATAAAACATTTAAAACTGATATGTTAATAACATACATAATTAATTAAAGTATATAAAGTAGAAGTGTCTAAAATCTGATTCCTAACTCTGCCTAATTTGCTGTAGATACTATTTAGATCAAGGGAAATTGATTAAAAAGAAAGTTGCATCTTTTACCACCAAAGACCAATTTAACGCTGTTGTTTGGTGATAAAATTTGCAAAGTAAGTACAGAAAATTCATATTTTACTTGCACTTTGATTATAGCATCGCATTTTATTTCCATTTAGTACAATTATATTTTTATTTGCATCTAATATCTACAAAGTTAGTAGACAGATAAAGTTGTGCTATTCTGGAGTTAGTTTTTCCCATCGGTTCTGCGGCAGATTTTATGACATCACTTATTTAATAGATTTTTCATTGCTGCATTTTTTATTCGTTGTAACTCATTGTAAATTATTTTAACACAATTTCTTATTATGGATTTTACTAATGTTACTTATGATAAATATAGGTATCTCTGGTTGGAATATTTAGTTAGAAATAAATAAATATTACTTAAATGTTATTCAAAAATAGTTTTATCTTCTTTGAATTCTCTTTAATAGATATTTTGGTACAATCAAAAAAAGCTTTAAAATGAAATCGTGTAGTAAGCATATATTTAATCTGCTTCATCTTTAATATAATATAAATTGTAGTATAATATAATGCCAAGAAAATGATAGTGTTTAAATAGAGTTTCATACTATGATTCGCATAAATGATATCTTTATAATAAACAGATATGTATGAATAAATTGTTCAATTATAATTCTAAAACCGCATTTCAAAAATAAATTTTCTGCTCAGGACTCAAACTAGGCATTCATAAATGGAAATTTTACTATGGCACATTAAATATTCACATGGAATTACAATAAAAATGCAACTTAAACTTAATAAATTCTATATTCCTTAATAAAATAATTTTAGTTTTATACAACAACAACAAAAAAAACTACGACGAATTTATGTTAAGATCTTTTGCAGTTTCCTTTTCTTATAAATATTTTTTTGGAGAGGCAGGTTTAGCAATTTCATTCCAATTATTGTTCATGTTTTTTTTTTCTTTTTTAAAAAAAATAAAAAAAAAAAACAATTTTGAAAGAATATAGAATTGTAAAATTTTGTTACATAATAAATCTAAGCTGAAAATAAGCTTTTACTTTGGTAAATTCTATGAGAAATAAATTAAATGTTAAAAAGTGGTGCATTTGATTATGTTATATAAAAGCGTTATCTTTTTTAATTTAATTAAAACTGTTCTAACAAATCTTGATAAAGTTCATTTTACACTTACTAGTTCTCTTTGTTTGTTTTACATTTGGTATTTTTTTTTAATGGGTTTTCTGTTGTCCACTGTCCTAAGAATTATTAATTTTTCTCTGGAATCATCCCGATTTCGCATGCAGTATTTTGGGTTAAATTGTGTAAAAGCACAGTACCAATTTTTACATTGAAAGTATAAAGTTTATCTTTGCCATATCTTAAACATTTAAGCTTGAATTCTATTAATTGGATTCCTAACTTTCTATTATAAACTTTAAAAAAAATCTATAAATGAAATTGCATTTGAATAGTCAAATTATATTTGGAATAAATTACTGAATAAAATAAAATCTGAAACTCGGAATAGTTGCTAATGTATTATGAATGACATTAAAAGATACTAGCCAAAAGTATCTGGACACCCATTGGTATGGATTTATAGTGTCCTGAAGCACATATTAATATGATGCTGGTCCCCCTTTTGCATCGATGACGGCCTGCAGACGTTAGGAAAGTCCACCAGTTTTTGATACGTGGCTATGGGAATTATCTTCCATCACAGCTGAAGTGAGTGCTTGCGGTGAGGATGATCGATTTGGCTGGCTACATAATTTGCGCTTTAATTCATCCCAAAGGTGTTCTATGGGATTTATATCGGGGCTCTGTGAGGTTCAGGCCAAATCACTAGAAACACCCCCACACCATTATGCTTCTAGAACCAGGGATGAGATTCTTTCGCAGATTTCCGCTTTTTCTCAGATTTTTCCATTTTTTCCGCTAATTTCAGCTGAAATTTTTTTTTGCACAAGTTAAAATATTTTATGAGGAATTTAATTTTCCGCTGAGCGAAATTATTGAAGTCCTCATTCCTCCCTCTGAAGTTTCTCTAAAAATCATTTCCTTGGGATAAAACTGGTTGACCTTTATACAGGGATGAGATTTTTTTCGCTTTTGTCTCTCGAATTTCAGCCTTTTTATCAAAAACTCAGATTCTCTAAAAGTTTCGTTTTTTTTTATTTATTTATTTATAAATATTACGTTTTTTTTTTTAAAAAAAATTCAGTCGTTGAAGTTAAATTAT